CGGGGTGAGGAGCCCTCCACCCCCTCCGCAGCCCCTCGCCTAACCCAGCCCCAGCCGAGCATTTGCCCCTGGGGAGCTTTCGCTTCCTGTTCCTCCTGCCCCCGAATAAAGCTCTTCCTGCTGGGGAGGGAGGCTTCCCGCGCTCGGTCCTGACCCCGCGAGCCTGGAGACACCACGGGAAGGGAGAGGAAGGACCCCTTATGCCGTCTCTTTCCTTACAGGCTCTGGAGCCGCGCCAGCAGGGATGCAGGCCTCTCCTCCCCAGGTGCCAGCCATACCAGGTGAGGCCTTCACACCCAAACTCACCTTCCTGGGCGCCTCACCAGCCTCACGGACCACACCCCTGCACAGCCTATCTGCCACCAGAACACTCGCATTGGGAGAGAGCAAGGTTGGGCCAGCCCTCCCACCAGCCCACCTGCTCACACACCTTGGGCGGAGCCTCGCTGGGGAGATGTTACCCTCATCCCACTGTATCCGGAGCCCCACCCCCTTAGGGCGCATTTAGAGCCAATCTGAAGCGAGCAGGGTTCCGCAGGAACAGGCCCCAGTCCCCACCCTGGGTGCCAGCTCATCTGCTCTCCCCCTCCTTCCCGCAGCCCCGCACTTTGTGGACCGGCACCGGGAGGCCCTCATTCAGCGGGTCACAGACGTGAACGGCGTGCTGGATGCTCTGTACGGGAGCATCCTGAGGGAGGAGCAGTACCAGGCAGTGCGGGCAGAGGCCACCAATCCAGACAAGATGAGGAAGCTCTTCAGCTTTGCTCCAGCCTGGAACCTGGCCTGCAAAGATCGGCTCCTTCAGGCCTTGAGGGTCACCCAACCCTACTTGGTGGACGACCTGGAAAGGAGCTGAGGCAGCAGCTGGAACTACCAGGGGTTGGACGTGCAGAATGAGTAATTTTTTTAAATAAAAAGTCCACTTGTACTTGTGTGGGTTTTCCTGCTTCCAGCCTGGCCGGCCGCACATGCAGAGCTCAGCTACACAGCTCAATGCTGAGGAGGCTCAGGGGCAGCTCGCTGCCTTTCAGGGGTGGGGCAGCAGGCTCCCCAAACTGTCACCCTTCCTGCCTGTCACCATGGCGAATATTCCTCATTCGCCAGTTAGTGCTCCTCCAGGGCTATGCAAGAGGGTCCGCCCTTGAGACTCTAGCTAGCCCTGTAGTGTACGTTAGAGAGGCGTGTACAAAGGGTCTGGGCGGTGGGAGCCAGGTGTGTCAGAAGGCATTGAACTTAGGGCACTCTGCTAGCGGGCAGAGCTTCTCTTTTGCCTTTTCCATGGGAAAGAGTAATTGTACAATTAGAGCAATTTCCAGGGGGAGACAGTAGCATCTAAACATGGAAGACCACAAGCTACCAAACAAAATTCTAGGGTTCCTTCTGGCACTGACAGCAGCAGGCTAAATTACTCCCTTTGCTCCCTGCCACCCCCTGGAGGAAGGGGTTATAGGTTACACTATGCCTAGAAAACATGCCAATCACAAAAGCAAAACTTTATTAATTCTAGTAGATATTCTTCTTGTGATGGAATTAAAGGAAATATGAGTACATACAGTTGACCCTTGAACATGGGGGTTAGGGGTGCTGGCCTCCTATGAAGTCTTAAATCCACATATAAAACTAGTCAGCCTTCACAAAATAAGCAAAATAGATTCATAGTCTGACAGCTGTCAGAGGGGAGGGGAACTGAGGGGCTGAGTGAAAAAGTGAAGAGATTGAGCCCCCCAAAAAACAAATACAAAAAAGCACATCAGCCCTGGCCAGTTTGGCTCCAGTGTGAGTGTCGGCCCTCGGACCAAAGGGCCTCGGGTTCAATTTCGATCAAGAGCAGGTATCTTGGTTGCAGGTTCGCTCCCTGCCCCTGGTTGGGGCACGTACAGGAGGCAACCAGTAGATGTGTCTCTCACATCGATGCTTCTCTCTCTCTGTCTCTCCCCCTCCTCCCTCCCTCCATTTTACTCTCTCTTAAAAAAAAAAATCAGTGGAAAAAACATCCTGGTATGAGGATTAAAACAACAAAACAGCCGAAACCGGTTTGGCTCAGTGGATAGAGCGTCAGCCTGCGGACTGAAAGGTCCCAGGTTCGATTCCGGTCAAGGGCATGTACCTGGGTTGCGGGCACATCCCCAGTGGGAGATGTGCAGGAGGCAGCTGATCAATGTTTCTCTCTCATCAATGTTTCTAACTCTCTATCTCTCTCCCTTCCTCTCTGTAAAAAATCAATAAATTTAAAAAAAAAAAAAACATCTGACACAGAAAACAGTATGGTGATAACCACAGGGGAAAGGGGGTGAGGGGGTAGGAGAGGGTCAAGGGGGATGAATGGTGATGGAAAGAGATTTGACTTGGGCTGGTAAACACACAATACAATATACAGATGGTACATCACCAAACTACACTGAAACCTATATAATTTTATTACCCAACTAGTGACCGGTGCACGGATTCATGCACATGGAAAGGAAATTAATTAGAAGGTGGCCAGCAGGGCGGAACTGGGCGAGACTGGCTGGACACACCCTGGAGCCAACCTCCCATAGTCCTTCCCCAGAGTCTGTGGAGTAGGTGGGGGTCTCTCCAGCAGGTGGGGGTCCCTTGGTCTGGCCTGCAGGGATCAGGCCAAAACTGGCTCTCTGACATCCCCCAAGGGGTCCTGGAGTGCGAGAGGGCACTCTGCAAAGTTGCTGTCATAGTACAGGGTGTACAGGGTGTGGAATGCAAACACAAGTGTGCAGTAAACCATATCCGGGGCCAACAGTGCCCCAGCAACAAACCCACAGCTGAAGGTGGAATCATGTGGCCCCACGAGGAATCAGATTCCCTCCTCTCTGGTTTCAGGGTGCATCACATGAGAACCACTGCTGCCAAGTCACTGCAGCTCTGCAGCTCCTGCATTGAGCGTCTGCCCCCTGGTGGTCAGTGTGCATCATAGCGACAGGTCAGATGGGCAGAGGGACAATTAGCATATTAGCCTTTCATATAGATAGATGTCACCCAATAAATGCAATAAAAAGGTAAAAAAAAAAAAAAGTCAGCCTTCCACATACAGATATGGAGTATCTTCCAAACTGTGGAGTCCACCCTTGTACAACTTGCATTTGAACTGTGCAGGTCATCTGAAAAAACTCCACTTATTAACTGGACCTGCACAGTTCAAACTCATGTTGTTCAAGGGCCAACTGTCTCTCTCCAGAAAAAACACTTAACGAGCCTTTCCAGAGCCTGTTAGGGAACCAGGATCCTAGGACGACAACCTGCATACACTTTGCACCAAAATTCTTTCTAGTTGTAGAGTAGTGAAGTCCTGGGGTAACCAGTATGCAAAACAGGAGGCCCTAAGGAGGAGCCTTGGGAGTTAATCAAACAGGGATCCAGGTATGAGGGTATAAGGTGATTGGTTCTGTGCCACTCAAAATGATACGCTAACCCACAATGAACAAAGCTACGAGAAGATTTCATTTCAATACCCTCGCCTAGATGATGCAAATGCAGTGTTTATTCCCCACACACACTCCTTCTGGGGTGTATGTAGGATCTCACTCTGAGTCTGTGCAACATTTCTCTATTGTGACCTGGGTCACCAGAGCAATAGGAGAAAACAGGCGGTTAGCTATAGGAGGAGTCTACCAAGACGGGAAAATGTGGTCCCTGTCAAGTGCGATAGCTAATGCTACTTGGGACTCCAGGAGAAAATGTAAGCTTCCCAAAAGGTGGGAATCAGCCCCCACACCTCAGAACCCCGTGCCCTAGTCCTTTCTTTGGCCAGTTACCCATAAAATGCTGATCCATCATTAACCCTCTTCTACCAAGTCTTCTTGAGCCTTATTCAATCCAAGATATGTTCAATCACATGTTCTGCAATGACCTTACCATTTCCAAAAGTGAATCTGTCTTCCTTTTACCGACCCTGTATTAGATGTACCAGTTAATAATAGTGGATTTTGTAATCAAAGAAAACACGATAATTTCAAGAGAAACATCAAAAGTGCTTTATTCAAAGTAATGTCCATCACTAGCTACACATTTCCCCGTCTTTCAGGTAATTTGTGGATACCATCCCAATAGAACTTTTCTTGTTTTGAGGCAAACCATTCAGAGACCCAATTTTCCACTTCTTTGTATGTTTTGAAGTACTGCTCAGAAAGTGCGTGTGCCATCGATCCGAACAAGTGGTCATCTGAAGGAGCAAGGTCTGGTGAATACAGCGGGTGGGTTAAGACTTCCCAGGCAAGATCTTTTAACGTGTCTTTAACTGGTTTTGAAGTGTGTGATGGTGCCTCATCATGAAGCAAAATTACTTTGCTGTGTCTTCTGGCACATTCTGGTCGTTTCATGATCAAAGCGTGGTTTAAATTGATTATTTGTTGTCAGTAGCGATCAATATTAACGGTTTCACCTGGTTTTAGAAGCTCATAATACACCACACCTTCCCGATCTCACCAAACACAGAGCATTGTCTTCTTTCCGAAGCAATTTGGCCTTGCAGCCAATGTTGATGGTTGACCTGGATCAACCCATGATTTCGTGCGTTTGGGATTCTCAAAATAAATCCACTTTTCATCGCCAGTCACAAGTCGATGCAAAAAAGACTTTCTTTCGTGCCGTTGAAGCAACATTTTACTGATGACTTTTCAGTTTTCCATTTGTCTTTTGTTCAGTTGATGTGGCACCCATTTTCCTCCCTTTAAAAATCTTACCCATTGCTTGTAAATGATCAGAAATTGTTTGCTGAGCAACATTTAATCTTTCTGCAAGTTGTTTTTGAGTTTGACATGCATCTTCATCCAATAATGCTTGTAATTGTTGGTCTTCAAACTTTTTTTGGTTGACCTGGATGTCTTTGTCTTTCACATCGAAATCATCACTTTTAAAGCGTTTAAACTAGCGTTCACAAGTATCTTGAGATGGAGTATGTTCACCATAAGCTTCCCAAAGTATTCAGCAGCACTTTTCTTCAAAATAATGAATTAAAACTTCCCGAAAATGTTTTTTTGGCACAAAATTTGACACTTTTAAGTGTAAAAATATCTATGATGTTAACACCTTCAGCAAATTTGACATATGAAGTTTTGAAGCTTGTTGTCACAACAAAATAGCATACATATCAAATCGCATATGTATCAACATATGTGGAACTCCATCTATTGAAAAAAATCCACATCATTAACCAGTACACCTAGTATCTTGACATGTGGCAACAGCAGCAGCCTAACCAGAAATCTTACCTGCTGGAAGCCGGTCCATCCTTGCTGCTTGACACAGTCGCTGCAGGGAAGAAACATCTGCACAGCATATGTTTCAAGGGACCTGGCATATATAGCATATTGTTCTTAATATGTTTGCTCTCCTTAGCGCCATGTGTTTTAACCAAGGTCACCTCTCCGAGAAAGGTTGTTTCCCCAGGTGGGGATTTTTCCCTGAGGTTAGGGAGGGGATACAACCCCTTAACTAAGTGCCAGGCGGGTAGTTAATCACTTTAACTACAAACAATCACGCTTAAGCTACATAATCTTTACTCCCTGGAATGGAGATAAGAAACGCCCTAACCTTTGCAATAGAAATTGACAGGATTAAAATCGACTGGTATAAATACAGATGTAACAAGACAATAAACATCAGATCCTGATCAGTTCCTAACCAGAACTCCGACCAGAACTTTGGCTGGAGATCCTGGCTAGAGGTCCTGACTAGGCTGCTGATCAACTGAAGGCTGTCTCCGTGTCATTCCTTCTTCGCCGACTCCGTCCACACCTTTGGGGACCCCTGGACCTGCTGGGGTTGGACCCCAGCACTTACCATGTTCCATAAAGCCTAGATTTAGTCAGTCCTGCAATTGCCTTGCTTTTCAACTTCACTGGGCCCATCTGGTTTATGCCTAATGTCTTACCTGCTTCTAATCTATCACTTTCAAGGACCTGGGTGATCAAA